TCCCTCATCATGTCTATAAATGTGTATAAAAGATGATGATGATGGTGTAACGTAAGAACTGCGTTAATCTCACGTTTCACTGAAACTCTGAAACTTTAACAGTCAAATTTATGCATTCAGACTTTAATCAATACATTTCTGTTCATTTTGATTAGCAATTATTAAAAAATATGACATCATGGTTTTTACCCAAATTCAACACAAGCACAATGTGACTGATGTGTGTGCTAACCTGCCTGTTTTCTCTCAGATTATTTCAGGCTTGGCATCATGTCCACAAGCTGCTGCGGAGTCCCTCGCTGCTTCTTTGGAGGTATCCTCTTACCAGTAACTAAGTACTTCTCTGGTATGCGAGTATTTATCACTAATGCTGTGTCTTCGCACACACGTGAACTCGAGTTACGTCTGTGATGATGTCGGCTTCAGTGTGGTTTGTGAGGTCACACCCTCATATGTGACACAAGGCCGGCTCGCAGTCTCCGCTCTAACGATTCCCGAGGTTTTCTCTCGGGTTAAAGTCAGGACTTCAGTCAACTTTCCACACCACACATGTCTGTGATTTTAAAGGCTGAAGCGCTTCACATTTCCTTAGTTCCTGAAAAACAGCCCCGCTGTGATCACTCTTCATCACACCTGCTGTTATTCTGTCACCAAATGTACACTCATCCACCCCAGACAGAAACGTTGTTGGTCTCTCGCTCCACTGCTCTGGACTCCACTGGAGATGTTCTTTACAGCATCCGATGCTTTGCACGTGACGATGAAGATGCGGCTCCGCTGCTCAGCCGTGAAGCTCCATGAAGCTCTTTACATCACTGAGTTGCTGGAAATTTCACAGCACAGGTTGCATCCTATCACAGTACCAAACTGGGATCCACTGAGCTGCTGAGAGCGAGCCGTTGCCTAGTTGCTTAAGTTTATGCACCTGTGGCCGTGGAAGCGACTGGAACACCTGAATTCTGTCTTTGGGCGAACACGTGGAGACTCCTCTCAGGTGCTGGAGTCACAGCCTGAAGCTTACATTAGTTTATCAGAGCTGTGATGACAACATTAGGCTCATGTTTAGGTCAACACAGAGTTTAAAACTTTGTTTTGATCTTTGTTTATAAAACCAAATCTCCTTTTTGTTTCAGTTTACAGGGATTTTTTTATTTCATTTCGATTTAAAGTTTAATCATCAAGTGTCCTGATGCTCCAGCTGTCATCTTACACATGTACTGTTAGCAGCTCTGCTAGCTGCACTGTTGGCATGCTGTTGTCCATCTGGAGCTTCACCGTAACGCTATAAAATGATGAAACATTAGGCTGTGGATGTCAGTCTGCTCACCTGACTCCACATGATGCTGAGGTAGGCGTGATGCTGGTGTCCTCCTGATGTCACATGACTCTGTTTCTCTGGTTCAGGGAGTTCAGGCGCTGATGAGAAGTGCGGTGCATCCTCTGCTGCAGTCAGTCACCGACTCCATAGAGGCCATCATTATCACCTTACACCAAGAAGACTTCTCAGGGTCAGTAGTTTCTCTCCCAGCCTCTCTGCACCAACAACAGCTCAGTACATATAATGTTAGTGTTTCTGTGCCTGCAACAGGAATCAGACTCATTTTTATTGATTGTAGCTAGAAAACCGAAGACCTTCATGAGTGATTTTAGTCCAACAGTCAGAACTGTGCCTCTGTTCACTGACGGTACAGATCACACTTGATTTTCAGATTGAATTCAGTCTTATTTTGAAAGTACAGCAGTAGAGGCTGAGCCTGAGCTCGGCAGGGTCAACACGCCGTCACGGCTACGAATGAAGCTTAAAGTCCAAAAGCTGGACTCATCTCGCCCTGCTCGGCATCGGCTGCACTTGTTGTTCAGCAGTTGGTCCAACATCGTTTAACACGAATCAAACAGCTGACGCTAACACATGCTCTCGTTTACAAACACAAAACGTGACGCACAGAAGGTAATAAAGAAAAATGTTTCGAGATTAATGTCATGCAGTAACAACCAGACAACGTTTGAAAGAAACCTCTAACGATCAGAGGCCCCCACAAGCAAACGGCTGACCAGTGTGCAGACTGTGTGTGCGTGTGTGTGGGGGGGGCTCACTACATCTTCTAGTTTCTAAAAATCACTAAAAGAGTGACATGCACCAAGCCAGGTCTGCTTTCCACAGTTGTGTTACTGCACAGCATCTTTTCTCACAGCAAACACATGTT